TGAGCAGTTCAGGGTTCAGTGTCTTACTTAGGGGCACAGGGATGTGAACCGGCAAACCTCCTTTTCCCAACCCAAGTCCCTATGGACTGAGCTACTGCCACACCCTGACGTTTAGGCAACACATTCTCACTCCGACTTCGTCACATATCAACATTTAGTCATCGACCTCCCACGTCCACATACGACATGCAAGGTACCCTGGATGCGTTGGCTGTTGACAGCCTGGGAGGCCGTGTCAAGTTCTGCCTGTTACATGCATTGTCTTCCTTCAAAATACACTTCTGTTTTTACAGGAAATTTACCGTTTACATACAGTCTCTTTTGAAATAAATGCAAATTGATGGGATTTTTTTTTCTCCAACAACTAACGCACATGGTTGGGTTTAGGAAAAAAGAGCAGGGTTTGGCTTTATAATCTTACTGGACGCGGACACCGCTCTCTTGGGTGAAAGTCGGTGTTTGTTGGACCCATCCACCCAACTAGGACTTTTGCCGCCTTAACTTTCACTCTTGTCCCGCTGCGTTTCTCCCTGACACCTCTGAGCACCGTTAAACTATAATGGTTCTGTCTGCGTACCATCACGACTTCGCAGTGAGACCCAAGATTTAGGGGAGACTTGTGGGTATCCGTCGAGTCATTTTTCATCCAAATATGTTGAGGTGAGAGTTCAGGGGACCCCAATTAAAGTAGCCATGCCAGCTGTTATGTCGCCAAAGTTTAGCCGAGCATTACTTAGCCCCATTTTAGACACAGATCGATACCAGTGGATCACAAGATACCACTAACTTTGCACTGACTTTTAAAAATGAGCCTCTAAAACACAGTAACACTGGCCTCCAATTGTTTTTGCCAGAGGGGGCAAGTGGAGGGGCCAACAATTGTGTCAGGGGGGCTATAACCTCCCTGCTGCCAGTCCCCCTTTGGGGCACCACTGGACATGGCACTCATCATTTTTATATAATGTGTAAATAATAATACTTGTATGCATTGTGTATTGTCATACTTGACTTATGTAAGAGGGCTGACATTGTGGAATTTTGACCTCTGACTCTTTTGGAGCCTTTTATAACCAGCAATATGAGAGTGCTGATTACATAATCAATATGTTATCAGTCACCATGAAGGGGGAATGGTAGATATGATCACACACCCAATTTCTGTTTGAATGTGGAATGTTTGGTTCAGATGGTTTCTGAGCAGCCGGCGTTAGGCCAGAACAACCATCTGTCCCAGCAGCCTTTCACTGTTGGTAAATTGTGGTTTCGGGCCTGCTGAGCCAACTGTTTTAAACTGAAAGGGTCAGTCAGACCTCTGGTCGACTGCTTGTTGGTACAGTGTGGTTTCAGAATTACAGAACAGATCAGTTCAAGCCAAAACACACAGCCATCCCAATATTCTGTGGTTTAAGAGGTTAATGGTGGGCGAGGAAAATAATGGTGAGTGTTTTTCTGAGCTATGGGAAATGCATACATTATCATTGTAGTGTAGTTAATGTTCTGCATCTGCAGTCATTTACTGTGTAACCTGCCAATATTAATGGATCAGTGTTTGCAATGAGAATCTAACTGCTACACAAACTTTTTATGTAAAATAAGCACTGACTAAGAGTGCATGAGAGCTTCTGCATTGTATATGTTACAGTAAATATCTTCTTAACATGATGCATGACCAGTGTTAGGGAGTCCATTTCATGGGGCTTGCTGGTGGTTCAACTGCATTCATATTTGCATAGTGATTCATGTACTTAAACTACAAACAGTTTGGGGTGGTAAAAGGCAATGAATTACTTTTTGTTTTTATCTTACCATGTCTGTAATTGAACCCCTTTGACCACAATTAGTCATAAGTATTGATACTGCTATCTATTAACAAATGTTCAGAAAAGTTGTTGCACACCATTTTAGAAGTTACCTGACTAACTGAGCAATCCTGTTCAGTGCAACACTATCACCTAGACTCTAGTTTCTGTAAGGCAGGTGTCTGACTGATGGACATTGTTATAATTTCATATTGCATGTACAGTGTCAATGTTTTACCAAGTTGTTACTTTTTCTAAGTAGTTTTATTGAACCAAACTATATTTCTCCAGATTGTAACTTTGCTGTAGTTGCTGTAGTTTAATTATCCACAGAGGTCTCTTCTTCTCCAAAACAAACGGACCAGGTGAGTAAAAGCTGAATAAAGCAATGTCATATTACAAATCAGGGTGGTATGGTGGTGCAGTGGTTAGCATTGTTGCTTTACAGCAAGAGGGCTCCTGATTGTACTCTGGGGTGGGGGAGTTTGCATGTTCTCCCTGTGTCATTGTAGGTTTTCTCCAGGTACTCCAGCTTCCTCCCACAGTCCAAAGGTTAATTGGTTGTCTCTCTCTATGTGTCAGCCCTGTGATAGTCTGGTGACCTGTCCAGGGTATACTCCGCCTCCTGCCTAATGTCAGCTGGGATAGGCTCCCCCCACGACCCCCAATAGGATAAGTGGTCAGGTCGTTTCCCCACCGCATGCTAATGGTGCTCATCTTTTTTCTCTGACAACTTAAAGCCGCTATAAGGAACTTTTAACTGGATATGCAAAAGTCTCTTGTTTCTGCTGATGTCTGTGCGTGACCTACAACAGCAAATGAGACCATCAGTGTGAAGATAAGCTATTTCTATATAGTGTATATCCATACCTTAAGGAAACTGTCTCCGGGTCCACCCCAGGTCGCTTCCAGGACGAAGCGATTTACGGCACTCAGACGGCACACGTCATCTTACCTAGCTGCTTACATTTATAGTGACTCTTATAAATAGTCGCTATACCTCCTCCTCGACCCGACGTCCGCGGGGAGTTAAAATAGCAGCAGTCATCGGGTAAAAGTTCTGTGAAAGCACTGGACTCAGCAACAGTCAGCCACGTCTCAGTCACACAGAGAAAATCCAATCCTCGGGAAGTCAGGAAATCCTTCAGGATAAACCTTTTGTTCGCTAGCGATCTAGCATTTACCAGCCCAATCCTGGCAGGAGCCGGCAGGTCCACGGCGTTAGCTGTCCGGGGAGCCACACACACAGAGGCCGCAGGTTGCGCAGATTCACCCCGCGCCAGCGGGGACGAGGAGAGCAGGGGCCGCGGGGCTGGAACACCTCATCCGGGCCGACGACAGGTACCAGCCAGGCGCTGACAGGGTCTAGAGAGTGCCGAGAAATAAAGAGGCGGGGCACCGCTCCATACTCAGTCCAAGAAGCCGTGGAAGTGCTCGCCAAACAGGCCTTCAGCCTTACCAGCCGACCACTGCGTTTACCCCGGCGGCGGTGGCGCTTACGCCAGAGAGGTGGAGCTGGGGCGCAGCAGAGGTGAGCTGGGATCCCCGATAGGAGCGGGGGCAAAGTTTTCCCGTCTTGTTGTTTCATTCATCCCCAAAAACAAACACATGCGTGAGCCAGGTAAGCGTCTTTACGACAATACGCACTAGACCTCATGGGAAACGTAGGCTTCATTCCGGCAAAACACTACCGCTCTTGTCCAAATGGTAGCCAAAATCAACTCAAAATGAAAGTTCCTTGTAGGGGCTTTAATATCCAGATGTTCAGGTTGAAGTTTACACCGGGAGCTGAATTATCTGCAGAGGTCTCTTCCTCTCCAAAACAAATGGACCCAGTGATTTAAACTGGTAAAAACACTGATTATAGCAGTTTCAAGTTAAATCAGTGGTTTTACGACACTGCTTGTTGCAGATGGGCTACTGGCTACAGTGGACGATGTGAAAACATGACAACACAAATGGCCCTACTTGGAGCCAGTGTTTGGTTTGTCCCTTCTGGGCTTCTGTACAGTGGTATAAAGTAGTTACAGTAGACCCCAGTGCATGCTATTATGATTGGCCCGAGTTCATTAGCAGTTAAGAACAAACAATAAGACATTTTTAATATGATTGAAAGTTTATAGTTTTTTTTAGTTTATGGAGAAGGTGCATATAATTTTGTTACAGATTGCTACTAACTATTTAACAAAAACAAAAAAACAAAACAAAAAAGAAAGAAAACCACGATGGAAATATATATAGCAAATAGTACCACATTTAGCTGAACCTGTGCTCTTCTTTGAACACAGGTGTATGTCTGAGGGAAAGGGCCTGTTCTCCACCCAGCACACTGTCAGAGGGCCCATTCTCCACCTATTGGGCCCCACCGCAACTGCACCACCCGCACTGTCTATATTATGTCCCTGCTATGTAGAAACATGATGGGGAACCTGGGGATCTGCATAAACTAGGACCCACTCCCTGAATAAAGCAGCTTTTAAATTTATAAGATCAGTATTGTCCAGATGCTGTCTTTGCGGAGAGGCTGCTTACTAGGTTGGACGATGCAAAAATGAAGTGAATGACCCTGTCAAAAACCAGTCAGGTTTGTCCATTCTAGGCCACTGTAGAAACATGGTGGTGAAAAATTGTGCTCTCCATGGTTGAGGTCCCGCCTCCTATGTAAATATAAATGTCTCATTCTAAGGTACAACTATTTTTACTTTGAGGTGATTATATACTAAAGAAAATAAATACTTATTATATTATATTAAATTTCTGTCAAAATATCCCCCTGAATCCTACACCGTGGACCTTTACAGCTGAGTCTTTCAGTGGTTGGTTAAGTGGCAAAACAATGTTTAATTTCTATTTATTTTAACGTCTTATAAGCCAATAATTAAATGATGCTGAATTTGTGAGTGAATCTATTATACGCTCATATTTCATTGCAGAAAGTTCACCCACAAAATGATACTGAATAAGTCATCAGTCTCAGGTGAGGCCTTTTATATCATTTATAATACTTTATGTTAAAGTACACGGTATTTAGAGAACACTGCAGCTGTTGCGTGTATTCCTACTGTCCTACTGTGAGCACAGTGTTGCATTCATGCTGAGCAGGCTGGGGCTGCAGCCTGAATGAAGCACACTCTGTGGTGTTGCACGACAGTAAAGGTAGCTTCTGGTTACAAACTTTGGACCAATCAGGACGCTGCTTTGCTTTCCTGCAGCAGGAGCAACAGAAGTTCAACCTGGACCGCTTCACGAAGAAACTATCTGCTCCAAATTCAAACTGACAATGCTTTATTATCCACTTCCGCTGACATATATCTGACAGCCAACTAGTTGTCATTGAAGGAAACATTTCCGAGTAATGACAATGTTGGGTATGTATGTGCCAGACAGATTTTCCCTGAAATCGTCAAAGGTCCAGGATGGAATCGGTCTGTACACGGCGAGGCGAGTGAAAAAGGTTTGTTGTTTCTGACTGGGCAACTTTGTCGCCGACTTTACACGCGAGGAGCGTTTTTATGTTGCTTTTAAAGAAATATAAACGTTGTGGAAAGTTTTTCTGTCCGCCGTTTTCCTCATAGCTTCTGTCAAAGTCTCAGTCTCAACCCAAGGCTCCTCTGACGTGAAGTGCCACGTAGCTACAGTGACTCCAGTTGTTTCTCTCGTTCACTACATAACAATGTATTCATGTCGGTACAGAAGGGTCGCGCGGGTGTCTCGTGAAGCAACACACTGTACATGGATGTCACCTTCAGCTTAAAGCTCCCAGCTTTTAACTTTTTTACACAGACATTTCCCCGGTGCTGTCAGATGTTTAGAGAAGGCGCATGAAGTGGTGAAAAGTCTCAGAGGATGAACGGGTTCATGTAACATGTAGTGGTGATGTGTTCACGTCCAGCAGGCTATTGTTATTTAAATCTGTGGTGCTGTGGTAGAGCAAGCTGAGGATGAACATGAATGCAACAGGAAGAACACATTGTTTGACCACGCCCCCTGCATTTTTTGGCACTTCTGGAAGGTCAGAAGGAAAAATGTCCAGCACTGAAGGATGCATTCACATGTCACATTAAACAGTAGGCGTGCCCACGAGATGCCCACAGTGCAAATATCATGGTTTGGACAGTGTACCGGAGTGTATGAGCGCATGTGTAATGTTTTGATGTAATTCATTTTGGATGCCGGTTTCTTTTTACAATGGCATCATGTCTGACCAGTGGTCCCTGTGTTTGTTTTAAAGGGAGAAAAGTTTGGCCCCTTTGCAGGTGAGAAAAAGCTGCCTAGTGAGCTGGATGAAAGCTCGGACACCAGGCTTATGTGGGAGGTGAATACACACACACACATACACATTTTCTCATGTGTTTTTACACTGCTCTATAAAGGTTTCAGAATTCAAAGAGGTTAAAAAGAACTTTGAACAAAATGTCATTCATAGGTGACTTAATGTTGTTTCTAGTTAAGATGTTCATATAGCACAATAATAATGACAATACATTCTATTTAAAAAACACTTTTTATGGTACTCAAAACCCTGTTTCCACCGAGCAGTACAATATGTTACAGTTCAGTGCGGTACGCATTTTTTTCTGTCTCCACTGTGAAAAGTTGTGGATGGTACCAATGGACTTGTTCCGTACTGTCCCCATTCTTGGTCCCCCCTCTGTTAGGGTACCTAGCACACAGATCTGGTACTAAAAGGTGGCTCTTGTAACCACTGTTAATACCGTGGAGAGTTTTATCATTAAACTGTAACTATAAAATGAAAGGATGTTTTGCTGTCTCTCACAGCAGCTGGAGTCTGAGGAAATAATAATTTAATTCACTGGGTTGACTGCCGGCAACTTTTAAGGTGGAACGTTTACTTGTAATGTTACTCAATGCATAACTTGATGATGTGAATCCATCAGCACATCCTAAATTTCACTGTGACAACTTTGACCATCACTTTAGTTTTTATATGACATACACTTTTAGTAATGAGTGGATCTTCAAGCGTTTATTTTTTTAATTTAGACTGGGTCATGTGAACAGCGTATATTCTAATCCTCACTCTGAGGGGAAAAAAGCGTCACAGACTGTCGTTCCTGCGGGCTCTGGCAACACTAAACCCCTGAGCTTGCCTGAGAAGGACTAAATGCACAAACCTGCTATTTTTAAATATCCCATGGAGAGAGACTCTCAATGCAGCCTGTTCTGTTTTGTTCTGAAAATGTGGGTGTGCTGCCTCATTCTGTGGACGATAAACAAGGTGCAGACTTCCATCTGTGTCACCAGTGATGAGGAAATACAGTGAGAGCTGGACGGAGCAGTGAGTGACAACAACCCCGCCCACATTTAAGGGTACTGTTTGCGGTGGAAACGCTAGGGTCTAGGTACCATGTCTGAAGGGTTACTGTTGGTTCCAAAGGTACTATACTGAAAGTGTTGGGTGGAAAGTTAAAGTTTCACACAATTAAAAATCATAACACCAGCCTCACAATGCTGTATTAAATATGTCATGTGGTAGTTAAAAGAACAGTGTGTAAGATTTCAGGAAGTGTATTGGCTTCTATTAGTGAGGATTGCAGATAGCAACCAGCTGAAACTTCTCCCAGTTAGAACTCCTTCAGTGTTCTTTGTTCAGAAGGTTTTTACTGGGAGCCGAATTATCCACAGAGGTCTCTTTGTCTTCAAAACACATGGACCAGGGGTCTCATTTATAAACATGGCGTACGCACAAAACGAGGCCTGAAAGGGCGTTCGCCACTTCCCACGCAAAAGTTGTGATCTATAAAAACGGACTTGATGGGAGAAACTCTGACCCATGCTTATGAACTTATGGAGAGGGGAAATTGGAAGCCTGATTGTAGAAATTGTTGAATATTTTTTGGCACATGCTACTTTTGGCTTTTGGCTGTATGTACATTTGTAGTATGGATCCTACACACTGCTTAATATATGAGAATTTGGTGATTAAAACCAGTAAAAACAACAATAAGTGTTTCTGTTACCCTGTTAGGCACGTAGCAGACAGTCTGCTTGCCTCATGTGAGCTCACCTATTTTCTCTGATAACTTAATGTGTGCTCACCGTATTTCTGATCCAGATGTTCAGGAGGTTTTTAATGGGAGCCAATTTATCCACAAAGGTCTCCTCCGCTCCTAAACAAACGGACCGAGTGATTAAAACTGGTGAAAACACTGAATGAAGCAGTTTATAGTTATAAATCATTGTTTCTCTGACACTGTTTGGCACGTCGCAGACTGGCTGTGAGCTCACCCCATGCTCACCTTTTTTCTCTGATAAATTAAGATCCAGATGTTCAGGAGGTTTTTACCGGGAGCCACATTATCCACAGAGGTCTCCCCCTCTACAAAACAAATGGACCAAGTGATTAAAACCAGTAAAAACACAGAATAAAGCAGTTTCACATTTAAAAAAATCAGTGTTGTCCAGAGGCTGTAATTGCGGAGGGGCTGTTTACTACGGTGAAAAATTACGTTCTCCATGGACAAGGTCCTGCTCCCTATGTAAATATAAATGGCTCATTCTAAGTTAATAGAAACAGCTATTCTTATTTTGAGGTGATTATACACTAAAGAGAACATACTTGTTATATTATATTCCATTGCTGCCTATATATTCCCCTAAATCCCACACAGAATGGACCTTTAAGAGGTGCATAAAGCATGATGACGATACCCTCACACGTGTAAAACCTGTATTTAGTATTTAGTGTTGTAATTAACAGAGAACAGTAAATAATCTTGCAGCTTGCACAAAACACATCCTTTATTGTTGGACAGCTGTGAAAGAAAGACGCAGTTGCTTGTAAATATGTTCACAGTTTTTCTGTGATAAAGAGAACATTTAATTACATTGCAGATCAATTAACCATACTGGCTAATTTACACTGACTCATCTTATGTTGTAGGGAAGCCACTGATGGCAACCATTGAAATAAATTCTGTGATGTAGTTATCTGTAGCTGCCACATTGTGAGGTAGCAGCCGGTGCACATGATTAGGTGTTTGTATGTAAAGCCAGCAAGCTTTGATGAACACAAAACAAACCATGAAACCAACAAGAGACGAAGAAGAATCAGTCATTCTCTTCTGACAACTCACGCAGTTATTGTGTTGTTTTTTTCCAGGTCCGTGGCAGTAAAGGAGATGTGTTGTATATTCTGGATGCTAGTAACCCACGCCATGCCAACTGGCTGCGGTTTGTCCATCAGGCGCCTTCACAAGAGCAGAAGAACTTGGCAGCCATACAGGTACGTTTCCTCTCAGCGGACCATGAATCCCTCAGACTTACCTAAAGAGTCAGACTAGGAAGACAATGATACTTTTTACAGGCAATACACATCTGTCAGGACCGGCTAATGATTTTTTAAAATATGGGGCTGTGAAGAGATCAGTGAGAGAGATATTTTTTTACTTAAACAGGAAGAAAATATTGGAGTGTTGTTAATTTTCTTCATAATTAAAGTCTAAAGAGTGAACAGACTCTTTTCAGCCTGGAAAACCAACATCTGAAAAGTCACTTTTGTCAGCTGCGCACGTCAAAATGGAAGCACTTTGTTGTGTTTGCTCAATATGACGTACTATATGACCACAAGAGTTTAGTTTTACAGATCTCTGAAGTATTAAATGTGCTACATTGGTCGGTGGCGAAAGCGTGAGCTGAAAAGTGACACAACCCCAGCATACTGATTCTGGGAAATTTCCCCCCTTGCACTCCTGTGCGAAAGACAAAACAGATTGTTTTCTCGTGATGGAAGAAAAATAGAGGGGGAATGAAGAGAAGATGAACAGTTCAGGTCTCAGGGTAAAGTTCCTGCCATTAATGCGCAAATGCCCAAAGTGATTGGTCGTTTAAAGGTCATCACGTGTGTTAAAGCTCTGTTTTCCATCAGCAGTGACATTTATTGTGCAGCTTTCCTCTTCTTAATCATTATTTATGTATATTTAGAATCCCATAGTTAAAACAAAATGACTGTTTGATTTTATTATCATGACCTTTAAGGACACGGAAGTTAATGACAACATTTTTAAGGGGTTTGAGCTTTTGACCTGTGGCCTTAATCAGGCTGAACAGACTGTTGTCTGGGTGTAATTAGTTCAACCTCCAGCCAGTCTCAATAGTTACTCAGTGTGCATTACCATAAATGGTTATTTTAGTAAGAATGCTTTTCTCATTAGGTACATTCTTCTCAAATATGGCAGGTGCAGTTCTGCCAGTGCTCCATGGCATCATTATTACTGTGTGATTACACCATAATAACCATTAGGGCATTGGTGCTTGATACTTTCAAGGTATCGACTGAAATAACCCAAGTAGTATTGAAGCTTGTCCAGTCAAACGATACCTGCATTTGATCCTTTTTGTACCCAGATCTAGAAATAAAAGATTTTTTGCTCACAGCCTATCACAGCAAGCTTTTCTTGATTTAATGAGACATGTGATTGGCCCACAACAGCAGCTACTACAAACCCATTCTGTCTGTCAAGGCAGCTCAGCCTACTGAGATGCAACAAAAACGTTTGCAACATCTGTGGTGTCTGGTGGCCTTTGACAAAAGTAAATGACTCCATTCACATAATGAGTATTGAATGAAGTATAAGAAGGGTATCAAATGAAGTACTCTATTGTTATCAGTATCATTTTGAAGGTACTGGTATTGGTTTCAGTATTATAAATATTTAAATAAAACCTAACCCTAATAACCATGTTGTTGTCTCCTAGGATGGGGAGAACATCTTTTACCTGGCTGTGGATGACATTGAGACAGACACAGAGCTCCTGATAGGCTACCTGGACAGTGATATGGAGGAAGAGGAAGAGAAAGAAGAGGAGGAGGTTGTCAAAGATGACGACGAAAACAGCAAAGATGCAAAGCATCTTGTCGAAATGGGTACAGTGGAGTTATGTTGCCTTATTTGTAATCCTGACCACTGATAGTTAAAGGAGCTCTATGTGATATTCAGAGCATTAATACATTAGCAAACAGCTATTTGCTGTGTGAAGATATATCGGAGCAATGGCGTCCTGAGTAGAGAATGAAGTTACGCTCCCTCAGTGTGTGTTGTCATCTGAGCTTCTCTGTTATTTGTTGTGGTAGACTGTCCAACTGCACATGTGTGTTGGTGCATGAGAGTCCCTGTGTGTGTATCCCACTGGCTAGCTAATTTCCACCACTGTGCACTGCGCTCATACTCAGGTTTGGTGCCTGCTGTTAAAAGCATTTAGTGTTTTCCACATCATGAGAATCTGTTTGTGATAGCGGGAGGTGGGATCAGCTGTTTTCCTCTCTCTGCCCAGGTAGCCTGATCTAACACAGCAGCAGCGGCTAACATCCAACTGAGCCGTTAAATGCTTTCAACAATTTCACTCTGACACCGGTACAGTTCGACTCTGTCGTTAAACCTGTAAATAACCTCTAGGTGATGATGCTAACGGTTAGTTGTGTCACTCTTGCAGCAGTAGTCTCATGATAAACAGTGAGAGCGGATCAGTATGCTGTGTGCAGCTCTACAATGAAATGAGATTTTACCTGTTTTTAAGTCTTCAATTTTGTCTTAACGTTGTGGTGATTGGACCAAATTGCAAGGTCATGCAGAATTCAAGGGGAATGGCTGCATTTGCTTTCATTGTTGCAACACCATGGAGGAGCTGACTTTTAGTGCTGTTAGCATCGTTAGCTCCTAGCCACCACCTCAGCCACCTCCATGTTGGCAGCCGTGTGCAGACAGCCTCTGATACGCTCTGAATATCGCACAGAGCTTTATTAGTTTATCATTTATATTCTAATGAAAACCAAACAGAAATGACCACATATTTGCCTCTCAGATCTGTGCTCACTGCACGTTTGCCACGTCTCTACAGAGCTAGTCATAAAGAAAGAGGACCACCCCTGCTTGTTGTGTGAGAGCAGCTTTCCCAGCGAGGAGATCCTGGCCGCCCACCTCCAGAGTCTGCACCAGAGGCCCAGCACAGAGGAGAAGGAGTTCAAATGCAAAAACTGTGGCAAGAAGTTCCCCATCAAACAGGCTCTGCAGCGCCAGTGGGTTCTCTGTTCCATTACTGAACTGGTTGTAGTGTTGTTTTATTTCAAACTTAACTGTTCTAACAGCAAATCTGCAGGTCTGAAAAAGTATTTAACCCATTTGGCAGGTTTTATATTATATGTGATGGTAAAGAAATTCAGTCTTTAAAGGTCTTAATTTCTTTGCTTGTTATACAAAAAAGACATTGCTTAATTCAGGAGGAGAATGTTGCAGGTTCCATGTAATATAGTTGGACATTTTATTAAAATGTGCTTCCTTGCTGAGATGTAAATGAGGAGATTGATACCACTCGCATGTCTGTGTGTTTAATCTGAAGCTGGAGCCAGCAGCCAGTTAGCTTAGCTTAGCACTAAATCAGGATACTGGGGAAACAGCTTGCTTGGCCCCATCCAAAAGTAAAATAAATCAACCAACCAGCACCTTTAATTAGATTTAATGAGTTAATTTGTTAAAAAAGTATTGAAGATTTCTGTATTTCTCCTTGACACCATTGGTTTGAAATTTAGGGTAAAACCTGATAATCTGATTTGATGATAATTTAAGTAAGATCAATTTATCCTGTATCCTCCTTGACATTTTGTTTTGTTAAGCCATCACCTACATGTGTTGCATTTCCTATTTGGTGCCTAATTTGTTTTTATTTTGAATCCTTCCCCAGTGTTTTGCATTGCTCGGAGTCAGTGGACCCGTCAGGTGACTCTAAAGCACGCCAGTGCTCCCTCTGCCACAACACGTTCAGCTCAATATCCAGGTAACATGCTATACATTGCTGAAATTTATTAGCTGTGAACAGTATAATGGACGCATGCCATCTACCTCCCTAAAGGCCCAGACACATCAAACCGACATCAATGAATTAATGGCGAGGAAGGCTGACTCTCGTGTCACCTTATGTCTCCTGTGTCTGCCAAAAAGTCGCACTTGAATACACCACAAAGACACAACAGCCAACGGCCAACTAGCATGTACGTTCTGAGCCTCCGTGAGAGGAAATAACATTCGTATTTGTCATTCAAAAAGGGAAACGAAGACGGAGAGGACAGATTCAAGACGCTAGTTAGCCAGTTAGTACAATAATAACACAGCCGTTTGCTAGCAAACAATAACACAAATAATTATGAACCGTCTGTGCTAAAGAGCTCAATGACTAAAACGCAATCTTGCCTGATAGAACAAGTTTGTTTCGATCTCACACCGTCTTGACTTTTGTTTACTTTCCTCACTTCCATTTTTCTTCTTGTGCATCGAGCTGAACTGCTGATGCGAGTGATTTCATTTACCGATGTGCTCCGCCATCTCCGACGCTGATTCAACATGCTGAATTGGGCAGAAAAAAAGATGTGTGCCAATGGTGCAGGACACACTGCAAACTGGGGTGACAGATGCACACACACGGCCCAACATTGAGCATGTGATGTCTACATTTGTGTTTTTGTGTGAATGTTGTATAATGCAGCAGCTTTGAGTCCAAAACAAATTTTCCTTTGGAACAGTAAAGTGTACCTTACCTTACCTTACCAACTGCTGGCTTGGTGTGTCAGGGCCCTAAGATGCACAGTTAGATTAAGTTATTTCCTCCCCTCTCTTCTCCTGTATCTTGTGTGTACAGTTTTGAGCAGCATAAGGAAGCCTGTAAAGGAGATGCCAGGTTCATCTGTAAAGCAGAAAGCTGTGGCAAAAGATTCAAGAGCAAGGACGCTCTGAAGAAGCATAAAGGAAATGTTCACACAGGTTGGCATCTCTGTCTCTCCTTGTATATCTCTCTGTGATTTTCTCTCTCTCTCTCACACATATTCACATGCACAGCACTTTTCCTTTTTTTCAACAAGTCACGTAATGAAGTTAATTGTCCATTAGCAGCCTCAGCACTCAAGGAAGCGCAGTAACAGTACTTGACCTCGATCAGTTAAAATCTCTGCAATGTTGAGACACATCTCTAATTACTTGCGCTACATAATTGCTGACCTGTGTGTTCTGGGGCGGTTCACTCCTTCAGATAATTGGACCTCCATAGCTATTTATGATGGGATGTAGGGCAGCGGGGATCTGCGCAGCCTTACACGTGAATCAAGTATCAACCCGAGATTAAGACATTCATCTCAGAGGCTGATGGAGTTGAGATCCGGCCCTTTATGTTTTACCAATGTGGTCAGGATGAGGAGTGTGTGTGTGTGGGCGAGAGGGGAAGTGGATCAGACTCGTCAGATGTGGGTCATGCGATTCAGATGGGGATAAGGGGAGGGTCCCAAAATGGTGGGATGGTGGGATCATTTGGGGCAGTGATGAGGAGAGTTAAGGGTCTTTTTTTTCTGTTGCTCTGTGATGATTGTCTTCAAATTGTTGTCATGATTGCCCACTGTTGTTATCTGCCCTGTAGGTTAGGTTTGGTAATTTTAGGTTTGGCTCTTCTTTCCTTTAAAGGGAGTGCACGTCGGAAACTCACATGCACCATATGCAACAGAAAATGCTCCTCCTCTCTGAATCTACAAGAACACAGAAAGGTGAGACATCTACTGTACAGCTCACTTTATCCCCACCCAGATACTTTGCATCGGATCTGAGAGGATTTACTCAGCTTAAGCAGTTTTGCATGATCCATTTTTACAGTGATGTCTCTTTTATGCTGTTTCCTGCTGTACAGTGGAATCCATCACACTCCACTTTTTCTGTGACCCCATCTCACCTCTTAATCTTTTGCGTTCGCCTCTGCTTCTTGAGCTTCTGAGTCGTGTGGTTATTTCCTCTCCACGTGAGGCTGTCTTTATGATCAGGCTGTTACAAATATACTCCTGGTGACAAAGAGCAGAGGGGTGGTTTCTTTTTCACAAGCTCATCCCACAGGTCTTGTGAAATACAAGAGGCTCTGTTGGCAGACAATGAGGTTTAAACCTTGGCGTCAGAACTCTCCCTCTTACTGATGGATTACAGGTTTGAACAGGGCTATGTAAATATTCTAAAATGTTTTCATACAAATACATATTTGTGTTGGTATTGTGTATTGCCAGTATCAGCTTATGTTAAGATCATTTTCCATTTGCTGTTTACACAGCTATGAGAGGATTGTTCTTTCCAGATTCAACATATCCTCGTACAATGGATCGTATGATATCTAACAAATTAGTGCCTGACGAATACGTTACCTACTTAACGCAAAGTTTCGTGCTTAATGTAAAGTTACATAGGTTAGGTTTATGAAAAGAAACATGATGACGATGTTCTTTAAAATGACTCAAAGTTTGCTTGATTTCACACGGCTCTAAACACTCTTCTCTTGGGGGGAAGTTCTGTGTTTTGTGACCCATTTCACCAACCCAATGCTCTTTATACTACTTCCTTTTTCACTCCCGTAAGCACATTGGTCACTTGCTTGCAGTCTTCCTGATTACGTGGATTATATATGAAATACTGGCTAATGATTAAGTGTGTTGTATACAAACTGTGGTGCATTAATTTTGGTAGGTATATATTAACAGCCTGCCAGGTTACACTCTGTTGTGCATTAAATAAGCTAATATTTCTGCCTCTTGAAACTCCACTCCAGTTGCGCGTAAGCCGTTACCATGGCAATCAGACTGCTGTTCTAGCATATGTGTCAAAGCGCTAGCATGGGTATTGGCAGGGATAGCAACAGCTGTCACTCTAACATAAGCTATGAGGTGAAGAATTTTTCTCCACCTCCTGAATCTAATATTGGCCCGATTTAGCTTAACTATTTAACCAACAGTTGATATGGGCAACTAGCTTGTTTGCTGACAACAAATGAATGAAAAACCCAAGTTATCCAAACTTTATATCAGTTACTTTGTGTGGAACAGAGTTTCCACTTTAAGGTCTTGATCACCCTGTTGCCATTTATTTTGCCAGCACCAGCTGACAGTTGCTAGTAACTTTATCCCTTACATAGCCTACTGTGGTCTGTAAATGTTAACTTAAGTTACCCAAGTTTCACAGCGTTGTGCTGGGTCCAAACAATCCCAAAATAAGAGGTCTCTGTCTTGACTTGCCTGTGACGCACACAACCCTACGCTGTATGCGTGCTGCAGGTGTAGCCTGTAAAAAGATACGACACATTCACTCTGCAAACAGTCTGCATCTGTTTTGTCTAGCTAAAATATCTATGATATTGACCTACAGCTTCTACTATAGTCACACGTCATTCACCCGTTTTAGCAATGACCTTATTCTTTTTTAACTTTGAGCACAGTATTAAGTTTTTGTCAAAAAATATTTGGGGAACAGTGTGGCTAAATATGAAATAATATAGATATGCCAAATACACTGGATTGGGCTTTAAAGATGTAATTACAATGCAGTCAGTATTAAATAAATAGCCAGAATACATGTGACTGGTGTAGAATATTCAGTTTTACCAGGAGTTAGAGAAACAAAAATATCTTTATGGATTAATCACTTGTTGTTCTCTAGTTCAGGTCAGGACAGCACTTTAAACGATGTTGGGCACTGGATGATAATGCAAGTTATCTCCAACAAATCGTGTTATTGGTTGTCGTTCATTAACTACACTGCCTGGCCAAAAAAAAAGTCACCACCAAAAAAAAAGGTCATACACTCTAATATTTCGTTGGACCGCCTTTAGCTTTGATTACGGCACGCATTCGCTGTGGCATTGTTTCGATAAGCTTCTGCAATGTCACAAGATTTATTTCCATCCAGTGTTGCATTAATTTTTCACCAAGATCTTGCATTGATGATGGTAGAGTCTGACCGCTGCGCAAAGCCTTCTCCAGCACATCCCAAAGATTCTCAATGGGGTTAAGGTCTGGACTCTGTGGTGGCCAATCCATGTGTGAAAATGATGTCTCATGCTCCCTGAACCAGTCTTTCACAATTTGAGCCCGATGAATCCTGGCATTGTCATCTTGGAATATGCCCGTGCCATCAGGGAAGAAAAAATCCATTGATGGAATAACCTGGTCATTCAGTATATTCAGGTAGTCAGCTGACCTCATTCTTTGAGCACATACTGTTGCTGAACCTAGACCTGACCAACTGCAGCAACCCCAGATCATAACACTCCCCCCACAGGCTTGTACAGTAGGCACTAGGCATGATGGGTGCATCACTTCATCTGCCTCTCTTCTTACCCTGATGCGCCCATCACTCTGGAACAGGGTAAATCTGGACTCATCAGACCACATGACCTTCTTCCATTGCTCCAGAGTCCAATCTTTATGCTCCCTAGCAAATTGAAGCCTTTTTTTCCGGTTAGCCTCACTGATTAGTGGTTTTCTTAAGGCTACACAGCTGTTCAGTCCCAATCCCTTGAGTTCCCTTCGCATTGTGCGTGTGGAAATGCTCTTACTTTCACTATTAAACATAGCCCTGAGTTCTACTGTTGTTTTTCTCCGATTTGATCTCACCAAACGTTTAAGTGATCGCCGATCACGATCATTGAGGATTTTTTTCCGGCCACATTTCTTCCTCGAAGACGATGGGTCCCCACTATCCTTCCAGTTTTTAATAATGCGTTGGACAGTTCTTAACCCAATTTTAGTAGTTTCTGCAATCTCCTTAATGTTTTCTCTGCTTGATGCATGCCAATGATTTGACCCTTCTCAAACAGACTAACATCTTTTCCACGACCACGGGATGTGTCTTTCGACATGGTTGTTTAGGAAATGAGAAGCAACTCATTGCACCAGTTGGGGTTAAATAACTTGTTGCCAGCTGAAAGATAATTGCCCATGCAGTAATTATCCAATAGGAGGCTCGTACCTATTTGCTTAGTTAAATCCGGGTGGCGACTTTTTTTTTGGCCAGGCAGTGTATCATTCGTCATTAATTTTCCCTGCTGGTGATTGTGAGTTTTCATTTTCTCTTGTCACCATCTACTGTCCAGATTAATCCACAACGGTACTTTAAATTCATCATGAAGCCACCTCCAAACTGTCCAACATTTAAAGTCACCTGGAAGTTGTGACATAGTTCTGCAGTGCATCATTTAACCTACTTCGTCTGTGTATGAGTCAGTATTCTCCAGTTTCAGACCTCCAGGGTGTTTTAAAATAGGCGTATGTAATATTCCTATGTGGCCTCCTTATGTGTCTATGTGCCAGTTCTGCTATTATGTGTCTCATGACGGCAGAAATGATTTCCAATCATGCACTATTGTCTGAAGCATTGTCTGTTATAAAATCTGAGATCTGAAAGGCTGAATGTGCTCCTATAAATTGAGGTCAGCGTTACATTAGATTTTGACAAATGATGTTTTTTCAGTAACACATTTAAACAGTTGTTCAGAATAACAGAGTCCTGCTTAAACACAAAGTCTTATGATAAATATGTCACATATTGTATTCTTATAGCTTCCTTCAAAGACATTGGGGAATTAAGTATTATTCTTGCAGAGGAGCAATCAAACTTTCCATAATGACACGTTAGCGCCGAAGCAGCTTAAAACTGCCATTATCATCATTTAGCTGAACAAGCTTTTGCAGTAGCAGCTGTGACAAGAGGAGCTGCTTCACATTAGCATATGCTATTGTAGCTGTACGCCGGGGAACTATTGAATGTGCAATTATTGGAGCTATGCTCTGAAGCAGAAAAAGGATTGGAACTTTTCATCACTTTAATTGCTTTTCTGTCAGTAGACATCAGTCTAATGAAAGCGGACAAGATTTAGTTTCTGTTGACCATCGCAGACCCTGATCCTTCAACTTCTTTTCGTGCTCTTCACCCCAAGTTTTTAAAAACTTATCAGCAAGACCAAAATTTAAATGCTCTCCCTTTTACTCTTTTATTGTAGGTACATGAAATACTTGAATGCCATGCGTGTGACAAGAAGTTCATCTCCACAAATCAGCTGAAACGTCACATGATCACACACTCAGGTAAGAAAATGGTGCATTAAAGTCCAGTGTGTAGGATTTAGGGGGATATATTGGCAGAAGTGAAATATATGATGTTATATAAATGTGTGTTATAATATAGAAGTTTGCATGTCGGTTTCTTTGTGTCAGTCCTGCAATAGTAAAGGGTGTAGCCCGCCTCTCACCCAGTAACAGCTGGAGTAGGCTCCACGATAAGCGGTTCCAATTAATAAGTTAATCTGACATTTCTTTTTTTGACTGATTAATTAAAGGTCCAGTGTGTAGGCTTTAAGGGGGATATATCGGAAGAAATGGGATGGAATATATATTTCTGGATCATACTTAAAAAAAGCAAATAGGTAGGCTAAATTAAACTTTTGTGGCACTTAGCGCTCTGTCACTGCTGTAAATGATGAATTTCAAAACTTTTATGTTTTATCTTAATCACAGTATATTTTTAAATCTCATATTCGGCAGCGGACACATTGGAAAGTGTAAATTCTGAGGTTTCTGTCAGTAATTTTTTATGTGTGTATGATAAAAACTCCTGGAGATATTTGTCCAAATAAATTATATATTTATCTAAATCCTGCTGAGCTCCGCTGGTGCAGGTTTCATTGAAGAGGCCCCGCCTTCACTTCCAGCAAATTATGCGCAAAGAATTGTGGGTACTTTTTACCTGCTGAGGATACACACACGTATCCTTGGAATTCCTCTAAAAGAAGGGCTCAGTTCTCGGTGAAATTAGGCCATTGAGTGCTGCTAAACCTTTAAATCCATCGCTCCTTAACTTTATGCATCATCTCTGTTTACCACAATGCATCTGTCTTAATCTTCCAATGATCAGAGAAGCGACCGTATACCTGTGAGATCTGCAGTCGCTCCTTCAAGCGCCTGGACCAGGTGACGGCTCATAAGATCATCCACAGCGAGGACAAACCATACAAATGCAAGCTGTGTGGCAAAGAGTTCGCCCACCGCAACGTCTACAAGAATCACAAGAAGGTGAGCAGATGTGGTATCAGTCATAATAATCCACTGGTGAGTTAATTGTTACTGTAATTAGGCTCTCACAACAGCGGTAATTGCTCTCTTTATACTGTTATATATAGCTGATTGGTGTGTGCTGACAAGAGAAATTAATTGAAAGGAACTTCAAAGCTAGAATTATTAGCAGGGCTGTAATCAATCAGGGTCTCGTTGGTGGCTGTTATCTGTGGGGTCTCTGGCCTGCTCCACCCCTGAGGTCCCCCTGTGTTTACTTTTGGGATTGAGGTGTCACTCAGATAGATAGGCCGGGCACGGAGAGGGGGGGGGCAGAAAAACAGAAGCACTTTGAACTTAAAGCCCCCCGAGCTGCCTGTCCTCATCAAGTCAACAAACTAAATCTGCTACGGAGACTTTTCCATGATCCTCTCACATCAGTTTAAGAGGCTTCATCAACATCCACGCTGAGGCGGGAGGCGGCTCGCCTTACACATTATAAACATGCTGATGCTGCTCTGCTCTCTCTGCAGACCCACTCTGAGGAAAGACCCTTCCAGTGTGAGGAGTGCAAAGCTCTGTTCCGCACCCCCTTCTCTCTGCAGCGTCACTTACTCATCCACAACAGTAAGTATGAGTGTGAGAGCCTCTGTGTGGTGTTGTGACCCTGCCCACGGTGAATACATCCACCCATGATAAGTGCAGCCTTAAAGATTAAAGAATAAATTAATTTGCTTCACAGTTTAGTGGGATTTTTTCTTCTACAATGCAGGTAACATGATTTATAGTTTGGAATTTTGCTGTCGCCATCTTGTATAATTGGAGCCAGAAGAGTCCATGAACCAAAGATGTTCAATAATTCCTAGATACCGGATCCTTAAGATGGCGCCTATTCAGTCCCATTGAATTGCTCACCTGGGGTAACACCAAAAAAGTATCTAGCTTCCGTGTTTATTTCTGCGATAAGCGGTCCACTGAAAGCGTACAGTAATGTTTCTCCTGCTGGTTCTGCCTGCGAGTTCCCTCAAGGCTCATAGACTTTATGTTGTGATGATGTCACAGATTTTAAAATGGTTTTACTCAATGCCAGGAAAGTTTTACAAATATAAAACTTCAATGGATCAAAAGTTCATAATAGAAAAAGTCATAATTGACCTTGTTTGCAGTCCAAAGTGTCCTGACAGCAGTTTTGCAGATGTCTCTTTCATTTATTTATATATTTATTTATCTTTTAACAATATTTTTGGGGGCTTTTCATGCCTTTATTTGATTCGAAAAATAAAGCATGACTGGGTAAGAGAGAGAGGGGATGATATGCAGCAAAGGGCTGTGGGTTGGAATTGAGCCCGCGGCTGCTGTGGCAAGGACACAGCCTTCGTACATGGGGCGCTCGCTCTACCCGCTGAACGACTACTACTACTCGGCACCACCCCAGACCTCTCTTTAGAATCGTAGCCTACGGGGAAAATGCTTTTTGGGGCACAGGGGATTTTTCCGCTGCAATACCGTGGGTGGCAACTGGGAAAAATTGTCTGCAAAGCCGAGCAGCGTTCTCGGGCCTGGGATTGACTCATTCTTTGAACCAGCCTCAAGTGGCCATTTGAGGAACTGCAGTTTGTAGCACTTCACATGAGCTTTATTTTTCAGCCCCAGAGGTTGCCACTTGTTATTTAGACTCTGTGTTAACACCTTGTCTTCAAAAGTGGATGTAGTTACATGTATATCCTTGGCCGTTTCAATGCTTTTACCGTAAAGGTCAGAATACAGGTGCACTTTAACTATAGATGGAACTGGTTTGACCACAGAGATGCGAGTGATGGCTTGATTAAATGCAGTTTTTACTCTGTCAATTCTGGTGCTTCTCAGATGGTCCAACATCAGATGTCTCTGCATCCCCCAGCCTCCAGGTTAAGGGAGTTCATCTCTTTTATATAATTTCAGTATGGTGTGTCTTGTTGCAACTTTGCATACTACATGCACAGTCTTTGCAGGATAAACAACTATGTAAAGACAAACAACTGTTTTACACAGAAATAACACAACATTAGGGCCTATACATGAAAAAGGAACATTTATTTTAACCTTAAATGTCAAGTTTATTTCTTAATATCTATATATATATTTGTTGTTAAAAAAGAAAGGTCATCAGTCAGGCAGTGTAGGGGAAACACTGAAAAGGGAATGTCAACAAGTCCAGAAAGTTAGTTTTTCTTTTTTTGGATGTAGGTATTCACATTTTAAATTTCAAGTTAGAAATACCAAATCAAATCAAATTATTGATGATATCGTATGCACAAATTACTAAATGAGCCATGTGAAATATGAAGCCTATTTTTGGGGAGAAATGATCTCAGAACAAATTATTTATCCCTCCTGTACTTTGATAAAGCCATCTAGAATTGTATCCCTCTTGGTATCTCTTAGTAGACATGTTTTTAAGTTAAAACCAGCCAGCTCATCCTCACCCTTGTGGACACTTCCATTAATCACAGACATCATAATTCTATCAAACGTCTCACCAAGGAGACATTTGAGAGCGTTCAGCTTGTCTGGTCGTCCCTGGCTGCTGTGGCCCTGCAGAAACATTCCTCCCCAGACAGTTGAGCTGCAGTAGAGCCTTGGCAGGATGCAGCGCTGGTCCTCGAATTGAGCCAGATAACAAAGAGATTGTAAAGCTCAAGGCATTTCCTGCCGCTGTCTCAGGAGGCAGGCCATATAATACCAGGACTCGTATTATGTATCAAGTTCTAGACAGTATGTGGGGCGGGAGGATCGAGTGTATGATTTCACTGGAGGTGAGAGAATAGACATGCCACTGAATACATGTGTCCGTCTTTATGAGTTAATGTTAGGGTACCATGTTAGCGATTGTCTCACAATGAGAAAATGAAGCACAGATGTCACAGCATTGTTCGGCCAACGCGCGTCATGCAAGAATGTCATATTCATATCTTAAATGTCTTGTACTGTTTTCTGTTAGGTTTGGTAGTACAGTCGTTCCGAATTGAATTCACCAGACTCTCTTTAACCGGACAAACTAACCGTAAATCTCTTGTTTCACATTAAGGAGTGCCATTCATTCATGAGGAAGATTATTAGCATAATCCATGCCCATAAAATTCCTGTTCTGCTCTGTTTGTTAAGTTTCATTCACAAAAGTATTACTAAAAAAAAGACTTTCACACTGCTGCTGGAAATTAACAGACAGAAACACTACACAGTGTAACAGTGTCAGTGGTTGTATAAGGGGACCTGAAATAATTAGTTTGAAAATATGAATACAGCAGCCATCACACAGGGTGGTGATGTCATACTGTCAGGTGTTATTACGAAGGATGATCATTGAAAGCGACTCAGACTCACATGTAGACCCTCAGGCAGCTGGACTGAGAGCATTTTCCGAACAGCGACTGAACTCGAGTCATCAAGTATAAAAAACAAATAAATGTCGCACAAGATGAAATGTGGATTTGGTTTATTTTAGTTTTTTTACTGTAGGTGATTTCGGTAACATATTTAAACTTAAAATTCATTTAGATTAAGGCAATATAATCCTTAAATTAAACAATAGTTTTTTTTACCGGGCCACCTGCATGACTCGTACGAGTTTTGTTCAAGAAAATTCTAAATACAAATAATTTGATGAATGCGACAAGTTCCCTAAAAAGAAAACACAAAATGACCATTTATAAATCAGTTGCTCACCCTGTGTTATCTTGAATGAATGAAGAGAACAGTAAGTAACTATGTTTCTCACATGCCTCCATGGTGAATGAAGAATCTGAAAAAGGCTAACAGTGTCAGTGAACTATCATAAATGCATCCGCGCTTAACAGCAAAACTATATCAAATCATCAGTTTACAAACAAGTCGTGCAGTTTAATCCAAGTCTCATTTATCTAGTCGTATGCTCAGTACTCCTCAAACACACGCCTTTTCGCTAAAACCTTACTATTTAAAACACTTCTGTATACGAGTAACACAGCTGGGCAAGCGCATGCATTTGAACTCTGATCATGCTTTACCCTGGGTAGATTTCAATCCTGGAACCCATCAACTATTGGTCTGATGAAGTTTTTTGGCCTGGTAGCCACAGATATCTGAGCCAAAACTTTCTCTGCTTTGTGACGGTCATTTTGGCATCTCTGTATAAACATATTTGCCTATGAATGCAGATAGATTTAAAAAATAATAATAATAATAAAAAAATCCTAATGTCTAGTTTACTTGTTGTCAGACATAGCTGATGGGTTCTGATGGACTGTTAACCTGCCGCTCAAACGTGATTGGTCAGTACTACTGGGACTACAAATGGACTCCAAAGGGAAACCAGGACACTTTCAGTACCAACATTTTGTCATGGTGCCCACAGATTGTGCATACATGTGCAGAGTTTTTAGAGATCAAGCAGAGGTCAAACGTTACATGTCTGTGTGTCAGAATGTGTACGCGGAAGTGGAATTTCATCTTCTAAAGTTTGAGAAAAAATACCAGGTCTGTCTGGCTTAAAGACCTGGGGTCTCATTTATAAAACAATGCATAGGATCCATACTAAAAATGCACTGACAGATAAAAGCCAAAAATGACGTGCACCAAAAAATATTTTACAGTTTCTACAATCAGGCTTGTTTAGAAAATGAGACCCCTAGTATTTCTTCTCAAACTTAAGAAGATAAATTTCACTCTTAGAGGCTCTGAAGACCGCTTCTATAAGAAATGGCAATGCTTTATAGTTTATTTCAGTAGGCTTTGAACACTCCCTCCTGAACGGAGAAGAAATATTATGTAATTGTACAGTGACGCTATTCACTCTCACGCACTGTTATTCAAAAGACCTCCTCTTTTTTAAATGGAATCAGTGTCATTGTGTGTTCAACCTGTATCTCCTTGGACTTTCAAGGTAGGGGCGTTAGGGAATGAGTGGAAGATGGGGAGGGATGTTTGTTAAGATAAGAAAAAATGTAAGGAAAAGTATTGTTTCAATTGTAATTTTGTATGATTTGCAGTTATTCTTCAATAAAAAACGTCATTAAATTGTAAGGTTTTAACAAAAATGCATGCGTTTCGGAAGCACTGAGCATGCGACTGGATAAATTTGACTAGGATTATACTGCACAAGTTGTAGGAGAATTCGTAAATGGATAATTTGACATCGTTTTGCTGTTAAAACACACACACTCTCCCTGTTACCACATTTCATCAAGAATTTTCTTAGTTTTTGGATTCTTCGCCATGGTGAAAGCATGCGAGAAAAACAGTTTTCTCCAAAATTGGGCGTAAGACGGGGTGAGTGATGCAGAAATAATTGTGTATGTGTAATGTGTATTTCTAGTTGTTTAAAGACCTTGAGAACAATCCTGTGTGTGTGTGTGTGTGTGTGTGTGTGAAAGTATAAATCACTGTCTGTGCATGTCTGGTTTAATACCAGACTGAAGCCCTGTTCCAAGTCATAATGAAATCTTTATGTGAGGGTGTCGTTGACATTAATTATCATCAAGCGAATGTGTTCGATTTGATTAAAAACACAATGGACCTCAGCTTTCAGTGGTGTTCCAGGTTATTGAGCTGACCATCATCGGCCTTGGTAACAGGAGAATGAGCACAAGCTCGTAACCACTTGCTCCCGCCAAACACACACACACGCACACTCTCTCAGCAAACTACTCTGTGGAAATTGAATGATCTCCATATAATGGAAACAACTACTCTTCAACAATAGAGGCTGTTGTATGGAGACAGAGAGCAGAGGCGTGAAGGAAAACATCAGGCTGCACTCTGTGAACAGCTGAGATTGTGCCCCAGCGTACTGTCTGAGCACTGTCTGTCTGGCATTTTAGTGCTTGTCAGTGGAATGATTAATACAATAAGGCATGTTTTTTTGCACTGTAAAAGAATGAGACACAACCATTTGATGCTCAGATGAAACATATGGCAGAGCAGTTTGTTTTACTGTTTCCCCTGGGATGTGTTCAGCTACAGATGCACAATAAAGGACGACGTCTACTGAAAAAAAATAGAGCCAAAAATTTCTAAAGACCATTGTTCAGGGTTGTCTGGTGCAATGAAACACCCCTCTTTGTATTTTTCTGTCCACACAATCACCCCAGTGAAATTGGGTCCCCTCTTGCTGTGCGTGATGGCTGTGTGTTTAGGGGCACAACAATAGATAAACTGGAAATGGCTCTGATAAATGTTCCTCTATCCTTGCCGCAGGTGAGAGGACATTCAAGTGTGACCAGTGCGACGCCACCTTCAAGAGGAAGGACACGCTCAACGTCCACATCCAGGTGGTGCACGACGGCCACAAGAAGTATAAGTGCGACCTGTGTGAGAAGGCCTTTGTCACTCCTTCAGTCCTCAAGAGCCACAAGAAGGTGAGTGAAAAGAGCCGGAGCCAGACGACCTCAATCATACACAGTGATTGCATGTCTGCCAGGGCTGTCACTTTGTCCTGGATTTGAGCTCAAGCAGCATTTTTGAAATGCACACAGAAACACAACAGAGAATAACTTATGAAACCTTGTAAAATGAAGTTGATTGATTCGGTTATCTTGCACATAACCACAGATAGTTGCAAAGAATATACTTTTTTTCCGTCATCAATCTTCTGCTATCACACTGAATTTTAAAGGGAAGGAATGACAGCCCAGTCGTCTATTTCTACCAAAATATTTCCATTGCTTTACATCCAGTCTTCCTCCTCGCCTCATGAAAGTGATTCAGCTAACCGTTGTAATATCTTGGACTGTCAAACCTGGCGGGGACATCCATCTTGACCGTTGCTGCCCATGAAGGCTTAGAAATCAATTCCTATGTTGATTAGGAATGGCAGTTAGTCCATTAGCTCCGCAGGGTTTCAAAGCCCCAAACAGATCTCTCTGCAGATTATGAGCCCTAAATCTGACAACGTCCGGTGTGGTTATGGATCAAGATTGAAACCAAACAGCTTCTTGGCACAAGGCAAAAGAAAATGTCTCGGAGGTTGTCTCAGAACAGTAGGGCTGAAGACAGGCATGTTGAACTGTCTCACTGCTTACAGGGTCTGGAGGCTGCAGAGGGATCTGGCCTTGATCAAAGCCAGGTTGCCGAGGGGACGACAACTTGCTGGCCGTGTTTACATGTGCAGAGTTAATCCTGCTTTTGGCCGTGCTGTTGTTGGGGTCTCATTTGATGTACACCTTGATACTCGGCAACTGTTTGTCTGAGCAAACTTTGGCCCTCAAATAATCACAAAGAGTCCTCACAGCCATGTTTTGTTTGTATCACATCTAACCGCAGCTCTGTGCACCATGTCTGATTTTGCACATGTGATGAAAATCAAAAGTTAAAGATAAGAAACTTTTTAAACATTATGAAAGCCAAACATCTGATCCAGGTTTCTTTGAATCACAGTATGAGCTAACCTCAGTTATTGAAACAGAGTTGAGCTGCAACTAACTGTGCTTTTCAATGTAGATGGATCTGACTGGGCGGTACGGTGGTGAAGTGGTTAGCGCTGTCGCCTCACAGTAAAAGGGTTATGGGTTCAAATTCACCAGTTGGCTGGAGCCCTTCTGTGTAGAGTTTGCAGGGTGAATGGTTGAAGTACGTAAGAGGGATATATTGGCAGAAATTGAATATGATAAGTATGTTTTCACCTAAACAAATAAGAATCACATAGTAGGTCTGCCATGTTGTTTCTACAGGAGCCCAGAGCAGACAAACCAAACACTGTCTCTAGGTAGGGCCATTTGTGTTTTCTGAGTGACCAGAGTTTAGAAAAGCACTGATTTTTTTTTATGTGAAACTGCTTTATTCACGGGTTTTACCGATTTAAATCACTGGGTCTGATTGTTTTCAAGAGGATGATTTGGTTCCTGGTGAAAACTTCATGAAGTTATCAGAGAAGATAGGTGAGCACATAGTGGCAGGTCCTGGGCTAGTCCGTGTGCAACGAGCTGAATGGCCTCAAAGAAACACTGATATGAAACATGAAACTGCTTTATTCAGTGTTTATACTGGTTTTAATCACCTGGTCGGTTTGTTTTGGAGAGGAAGAGACCTCTGTGGATATTTTGGCTCATGGTAAAAACCTCCTGAACAATGAACACTGAAGGAAATCTAACCGAGAGTCCACGCTTGGCACACTGGGGAAGTTTCAGCTGTTTGAAATCTGCAATCCTCCCTGCTGGGTGCCTCTAAATCCTGTTTCTTTAACGTTCAGTCTTTGAAATAGAAATATAATTTGAGAAAGAGTAAAAAAAAAATGAATATGTTAAAATAACAATGCTACATGACAGAGATAAGCAGTTATTCTCTCATTTGAGAATCTCTAACCAGTGAATTTTTGGCATATTTGCTCGTAAAATAACTGGAACAATTGATTGTTAAATCAATGTAAAATTAGCTGCAGTTTGCTTTGTTTTTTTGTTGACTAAGGATTTACGAGACTAATTGTTTCAGCTCTACTTTTGAATGACCTGGTGGCTCCTCTCTGAGCACATATAGATGTAGCCACTGAGCCTGAACGATGTCCGATAATTTGAATTTTAATTGCTTTAAGAGATGTTTTAATCAAATGCCAATTTTCAAAAGGAACAGTATGAACAGTTTAGGGGGGATTAGTGGCATCAAGCATTAAGGATTGCAGATTACAACAAACTTCTCCTGTTTCAGGGTTTTACTGCGAACCAAATTATCAGCAACTGTGTGATGTGAAAACCCAAATTGTTTATGTACAGCCAGTGTTTGGTTTGTCCATTCTGGGCTACTGTAGAAACATGATGGTGCAACATGGCAGTCTTATATTATATTTCTGCTAATATATCCCCCTAAATCCTACACACTCGACCTTTACGGGGATGCATTGGTTTTACTGGAAACAACTGTGATATTTTGAGTCACAAGTGCAATTATCTCACCTCAACCAGGAATTTTTATAAGCTTTAAGAAAAGGAAAAAAGAATTCAAGGTTGACGACAAACGACTTGCTAAAGACGACAATTTTGATGTGAATATTGATAAAGAATCATCCATTCTTTATTTTCTACTTGAGACCAGACAGAACGGATGTATAACTTTGTGTCTTTAATTTCTTTGGTCACACGTTCACCAGTCGTTTGTGTAAATGAACAGTAGTGTGGTCCATTTCTGGCACAACAGGCCTGAGTTATTCGTGGAGCGCTCTTGTGTTACACTCAATGCTTTCTCCTCACTGAGCCTGGGTTTGTGTTATACGAGAGGACGTGTGTGTCAGCATGTATGTGCATGTATTGTATGTTTTGTACAAGATGGTCTCACCTCTGTCGGTGCTATTCTGGAAGAATTCACCTCTGAATGAAAATTACAGGGTTGGTTTTTGAGTAGTTGCAGACACACAGATCAATTATATATAAATACTTTGAATAATTACTTACAACTCCCAATAAATTTCACACTTATGATTCAGAACTTGATGTTCCCAAGAGAAATTGCCGGCGTACCCCCTGGCTGTTTGCCTGCGAAGGTAGAATACCAGTGATGTTTTCTCTGTTGTACAAACAACTAACTAAATAATGCAGCGCCGCTCCATCTGGGACGCATGTGTTCGTATATATGTGGATTTGTTTGTGCATGTGCGTGTGAGTGTTTGTGCATGTGTGTGTTAATGTGCATGTGTGTCTGTGTGTGGATGGAGCCTTTGTAACGAAACACCCGAGGTGTCAGAGGGACACAGTGGGGTGATGGAGGAAAGGATGGGGGCCCAGGGAGGAGGTGTTCCTGTATTGTTGTACTGCTGTTGAAACTGTCGCTCTGAGTTTGAGCCTTTCATACTCACGATTATTCTCGGGAATTTATAACAGGGCCAGCAGGAGGAATTCAGGGCGCACTTTTCAACAAGGAGAGAGTGAAGGAGTTAGGAGTGAGGGGGGAAGGGGTGGAGGGAAAGGTAGAGGAGGTAGTACACGCTTTCCACATGCTCCTCTTCCCTGTTTGCATGTGCAGCCCGTATGAGCCCACAGAGCTCGACACTGTGGACTGCTGGAAGGTGAAAGGAGAGGAAGAAGAGGGAGGAGGAGGATGAGAAGATGAATGCATACGTGCACCCTGGCCTTTGGTCCCCCGGGCCTTGGACCCTGGCAAATCTGCATCGTCTGTGTTCTTTGATCCTGCCTTCAGGGCAGCTCAGTGGATCCACTGTCATGTGAACATGTGCATCTCCATTCACTGAGTTGACCACGACTTAGTGGTGCGCTACAGAAGAAAACTACATTTTGTTAATTCTTTACCCAATCAGACAGTGCTGCTAAAATAAATGCTTTAAAGTGGGCATTTAAAGTGGAACCTAGATCCTGGAGCTGCTTTCACCAAACAAAAAAATACCAAAATCTGATTATGTTTGAATGAATGGTTTTAAGATGCAGTATGATAAAGTTTAATATTCCACTTTTGATAATGTTTTCATGAATATCTGATTCCTATAATGTTCTGACGTTGAATTCCAGCTATCACAGAAGATCACATTTTACTTTGTAATGTAGGAAGGATGTGAGGATGAATGTTACAAATGTTTTTCTTAACATCAACCACATGTCTCTGGCAGACACACACAGGGGAGAAGGAGAAGATCTGCCCGTACTGCGGACAAAAGTTTGCCAGCAACGGCACGCTAAGGGTCCACATCCGCAGCCATACAGGTCAGTGGCTCTCCACGGTTTAATGCTTTGTTAAAGGATTACTTTACCCACAAAATGACCATCTGTGTATCAATTACTGACCTCGTGTTAGGCTGGGGTTATGAAGCAAACTGTTTTCTTGCATGTCTCCACGGTGAGCAAAGAATCCATCCAAAGTGGAGAAAAGTCTTGATGAATTGAAATCAAAGGGGTTCGCATTTAACAACAGCAAAACAATATCAGTACATCTGTTAGCAAACTCTCACACAGCTCATGCAGTATAATTTAAGTCTTATTCATCCAGTCGTATGCTCAGTACTTTCCAAACACATGCATTTTCGCTGAAACATAAAACGAAAAACAAAATGATAAATGTAGCTTGGTAGGAAGCTGACGTCCCCAAAGCTCCAACTGGTTGCCTGTTTCTCCAGCAGGCTAAACCTTTCTGAATCTGAACATACTGAAGATGTGCATTAGAGGCCATTAGAGGTCTGGAACCAGGCAACTAAACACCAACACCTTGTCTTGAATGTCATTCTTGTATTATGCCCCTCTCTAACCACCTTCACACCATGCTCACTGCACAGGTCACAACAACATACCAAGGCACATTTTAATATTCAAAATTCCAACATGATGCCACACTGCTTGTTCCAGTCTTTGCACTGCCACAAAAATAGAGCCCTGGATGTTCATTAAACTGCCTTAAACTGGAAAGCTACACATTCCTGTGCGTCTCCTTACCAACAGACTGGTGCAGAGACCTGGCACGGCCACACACACACTTCTTGGCCTCTAAACTCCGTCACTCACTCTTTCTTTCTGTCTGTCTCACTGCCTGCTCGCTGCCTGGCTGTCTCCTTCTTTTCCTCACTCTTACTGAACTTCATCTCTTTTTCTCTCTCATGTTGTCTTCTCATTGTCCTGTTGTTTTTCTTGGAATTTACTCTGTTTGCTCTCTAGTTTCAGACTTGGTGACTGGAAAGCACTGAAGCTCAATTGATTTCTCAAAACTGGCTATGTCCTATGAAAACATACTGGGGTGTTAATCACTAGTTTTATCATGTTTCAATATTATATTGATTTTTATCTGATATCACAAAGTCTGCCACGATACAATTCACAGGCCTGTGATTAATATAAGATGATATTGTATGTCCATCCACGCAGTCAGTTACAGAAAAAGGCGGCCACCCCTTTCTTTTTTGCTAATGGCCATTTAAAAAAAAACACATAAATAATTAAGCAGTTATCTGCAGTACTTTTACTTTAATTTGACTTCTCTAACACACATAAAACATGGCTTAAAAACAAGAAAATTTAACATAGAAGTATAAAATTTGGCACAATAATAACTGTCAAAATTTATAGATCCATTATTAGCTTAAGCACTTAGCAGTGGATAGCGGACCTTTCCTCTACTCTTAGCTTAACAAAGTGAATTTCAGTTGGCATGCATGTTTTTTCAGCCAAACATAAACATAGGAGCTAATATTGCTGCAGTGAGAGCAACAAGTTAGCAGAATAAATTGCTTGGCTATGCTTGTCAGATTTCCTGAGTATTTTATCCTGCAAAGGCATGATTTGCACAAAGTGGCAACCTCCAGGGCTGAAAAATGAGGCAACACGGAAGTGCAAAAAAATTCAGTAGTCCACAACTCAAGCCTCATGCCCAAATACCCAGTGATGGCAGCCGAAATCTGTCCAGCTGATTGGGCCTGATTTTGAGGCATCATTTAGGCCAAGTCTCAGCCGAGTCAGGCAACCGGATGTGGCCCGACTTATTTCTTCTGGCATGCTGAGTTTGGGCCAATTCTGGGCCAGGTCTTTTTTGAGAACAGCTCAGTGATGGCAGTGTCGGCAGCCAGAGTCAGGCCAGCTGTTTTGGCCCAATTCTGGGGCGCCATTTATGCTGAGTCTCAGCCGAGTCAGGCAACCGGATGCGCCCCGGCTGATTTCATCTGGCATGCCAAGTTCAGGCCAATTCTGGGCCAAGTCATTTTGGCTACCTGGTCACTTATGGCTCCAAAAAAACAACATAGGGATAGGTTCATAGGGCAATGTTACAATAGCTACGTCCATTATTTTTACAGTCTATGGTTAGCACATGGCATGTGCTTTGGCTGTTGACCCATCTTTTCTCCAGAATCCATATTTGCCATTTTCTGCCTGCTTTTTAAGATTTTTTTTTTTTGGCATTTTTTTCTGCTTAACTGACACACGGATAGACAAAGATATGAAAGGGGAGAGGGGGGGAGACCTGCAGCACAGAGCTCTGGCCCACTGCAGTAAGGACCCAGCCAAATTGTATGCGCTGTACTTGGTGAACGACCAGGTGCCCCTGCCTGGTCAGGCTGTTCTCATAAACTATTTTCTTACTACAAGTAATGCACCCAAATTCGCAAATATCCCACATAATAATGAGCCAGTAATTTGCGCGTAAACCACTTATTTTGGAAGGCTTAAATCATATGGCCAATGCACTGAAGGAAGTTAACAAGAAAGCGGTGACGAGCAGTCCACGTAGCAGGCAGGTTGGGGTGAAGGGTTTCAACACAACACAGGATGTTCGGAACCGTGTGAACTTTGAGTGATTTTAAGGAACATCCTCACCATGTTTCTTTTGCACAAACCCAACCTCTGTAACTTTACGTTAATAACCTAACTTTACATTAAGGACCTAACATTCAAGGGGATCTAATTCATAGCATGTCATGCAAACCACTGTATAAAGATGAGTTGGCCTGGCACTATTGGATGATGATATGGATCGATGTTTTCACTTTGTATCAACGATTGATGGTCATTGAATCAGTGCATCAGTCTATACTGATGAATCGTTGCACCCCTAAAACATACCAATCGTCCTCACATGTCTTGTGATCTTCTGATCTATTGAATCCAGGGAGATTCATGTCATCATGACCAGCCCACACAGAGCCCCTAATTAGCAAATCAATTACCTCATATAGTCAGTGTTTAAATATATGAAGCTTCATTCACTCCATGTCTTGTACTGACTCCCTACAACACATCATATTATAAATGTTTCAACTTAAATCATATATGGAGCCTCTCTAGACCTTCCCATCAAGCACTGACGAGATTAGTGTGTCAAAATGTGTGTGTATGTTTGAGTGGTGGCAGGACGGTGGTCCTACCACACTTTGTCAACAGCTTCCTTTGTATCTGTGTGTGTGTGAGCTGTGCATGTGTGTGTTTACGTACATGTGAATGTGTGAAGGACAAACCAACAGAAAGAGAGAATGTATTCCAGTGTGGGCCGCGGCCCAGTCTGATTGTATTTATATAGAATAAACAAAAGGGAGGAATGCTGGGGGAGGGGTGGGAGCCGAGGGGACACCTCAAAGAAAGAAAGGAGTAAAGAGAGAAAAGACCACTCCAAGAAAGCATCCAGCCGGATGACCCTTGACCCTGACTGGCTGTAAATCTGTCCCCTCATTCTATAGACTGGGATTTTTTTTGTTTGTTGCTTTTTTGTGTGAGAGGAAAAAATAAGCTTTGGTGAAAAGTGTGAGTCGTTCCCTGAGCGACAATCAAACAAGACTCATCTTGTTCTCAAACAGTGGAGAGTAATTTCGTGGGCACACACGGCTCTCTATGGAGATTGTGTGATAAATGTTTAAATCATAAAACGAGCCTGTTAATGGAAGTAAAACTTTAAAGACGGCTAGTTTTTTCTGTCAGTGATCTCTTAAAGAAGGCCACCAGCTGAGGTGAAGACCTTTAAATCGACAGCTTCTCTGGATGGCAAAAAGGAAAGCTCGATCTTGTTTGTCTTCCTGCTTCACAGGAACAAGTCAGCATTGATTATTTACCTGCTAAACACAGAGGACTTTGTACGGATTCCTTGGAGATTTCCTCTCCCTATCATTTTACCATCAAACACTAAAGCGCATTGTCGGAGAAATGGGTAAAGTGAGAAATAGATTAAAGAGAAATCCTAAAACATCAACTTGAGAGTGTTAAGTAGCTGGCGAGGCATGTACTGTATATTTGGCTTGGATTTTGTTTCAATTTAATTTGGTTAGAACATCGTGTTGAGCTCAAACAAATTAGTTGTAGTGCCACAGAGGCAGGCGTCTTCTCAGAGAGCTGCCTTTATGAGATCACCGACAACCCATAAAATGTGAGCTGTCAAAAAACTTGGACCAGGATGCTGAAGACTTTGTGGAACTCAGTAGTCATGATGGATGTTTCTATCATCTTCTAAATGATTCTTCTTGGCCCTGTTGTGTGTCGTTCTCCACATCACAGCTCAGTGAGAGTAGATTTTCCCACCATATGTGCCATGATGTGGTAAATAACCATAGTGGGGTCATGAAATTTATTTGTGCCAAAGGAAAAACGTTGACAGAACCCAGAACCCCAGTGTCATACTGACATCATAGGACATGTCATGTGTGGGCACAGCAATCAGTGTAAACCCATGAGCTGTGTTACGACAAATTGGCGTGGCATTTTAACCCTTAGAAATGCTGATTTTGTGTTTATGTTGTGTTATGAATAAAGCTTCAGTGTTAAGAGTTTTTCCACATGCTCAGACAGACCGAGGTCTCCAGTGTGGTTGCACATGTTCAGTAGTCAAAAAGAGAACACTTGGATGGTTTTAACATCATCGTCACAACCAACAAATAAAACATTTTTCTACTTTAAGTTTCACAAGCACAAGAACAAAACAAAAAGTAACCACGAGTACAATGTGTCAATTCCACACAGCTGTCTGAGATGATTATATTAAAGCCGCCATGTGTCAATACACTCAGAGGAAACGGACATGAGTGGGTTGAAAGCAACACAAAGGCCGCACCAATTTTCACTGGGATTGTCTGATTTTTCTATGAGCAAAAACTTATGCCATCATAATTATTTGAAGATGCTATAATTATGAAAAATGTGCTCATATGGTGGCCTTAAAGGGCCACTCCAGAACATTAGTTTTGCACTTCCTGACATCATCAGTTATGTTTTCAGACTTTAAAAAGCTCCCACGGGAACCA